TGTGTGCCTTTCTCCATTTCAACCTATCCTAGTTACAGTGCTGGCTTCTCCAGAGACTCAAGCAACCTCAAGGCTCCTGAGGAAAACCAAGGTTGTTGGATTCTTGTGTTCCCAGGTTTTAAACAGAATTCAGAATGCAACCTTTTTTTGTGAGGCTGATCATGGAATCCCACAGCAGAGCCATTCAACCTGGGTTTTATGCTGAATGACGTGATAAAATTTTGTCTACTCTTCAGTGGCAAATTTGAGCAAGAAGACCCATGAACAGAAGATGGTCTATTAATGGTCCATCAGGGTCATGCAAGTGCCAGTTAGTCTACTCGCATGTCCAACTTTCCTTCTGTTAATAATGCAAAACCCTCTTGGATTGTCACAGCATCATTTTCCCAAGAATTCCCCATCTTATCCTAACGGAAATCCCCTGACCTCTGGTACTAGCAGAATCTGAGGGTGGCAGGACAGATCCAGAAGTGAGGCTCTTAGTGGAGGACCTATTGCCTGGATTGACTTCCAGGCCATAGCTGTGCTGGCTGGGAGAAACGGGTTTGTTGTTTGATGCTTCTCAAGAGCACCAGGCTGAGGAGGACTAATGCCTGACTGTCTTGCATCTGAGGTTTACACCCACAAAGCAGTGCTGTTTTCAGTTGGGGTTAAATGAACAGCTCAATTGTGGTTCAATTGTGAAGAGCAAATGAATTGGTTGGGGTCCAGCTACCAAAACAACTCCAAGTGTTGTTTCAATTAGGATTAGCAGTTGCTTTGTGTTAGTGGAGCAGCACAAAGCAGCTGTGGTGTACTGATCTTTCCTGGACATCAACGACAATTTAATCACCTTCTTCATGAAGCATTGGGAAGACTCAGTGGGAATTACAAACTGAAGCAGCAACAAAGACTCCTCACACCTTGCTGACCTCAGAACCAACTGAAAGCACCTTGACATTAGAGTTCAACATTAGAATCCTGATATGCTGCTGGAATTCAGGTACACTACTACAATATGTTGCCGTATTTCAAACTCCTGTTCAGCCATCCAATTTCACCCAGCCCAACATGACATCTTCCAACCATACTTTCACCTGCATTTTCATTTTTCCTACACAACATATAGAGAAACCTCATTCTTAGCTTTGTGGCACAATGCTTAAAGTGCTATACTGCAGCCAAAACTATGCTCACAACCCAGGTTCAATCCCAGGCAGGCAGCTCAAGGTTGACTCAGCCTTCTATCCGTCCAAGGTCGGTAAAATGAGTACCCAGCTCACCTGGGGGTGGGGCAATGTGTAGCCTTCATAATTAACTTGTAAACTGCCCAGAAAGTGCTTTCAACACTATGGGGCAATAGATAAGCAGCCCACTTAGGAAAGGAAAGAGCTTGATTTTCAATGGCTGAAGATCGCTAGTTTTGAGAAACTGTTTTAATCTTGTGCTGTTTCCAAGAACACCCCTTTATGTTGTCCGATTAAGGCTGCCTTTTACATTAGTGAAGAAAAAATGAAACTGTTGTTGCCCTTGATGATGACTGGACAAGGATCCCACAGAAATATTGATAAGTTAATTCAAAATGTGAAGAGAGAGCCTAATACTCTCTCATTCTCTCCCACCACCACCACCCCGCCGCTGCTGCCACACACATACACTTCCAAACTTTTCCCTTTTGGGCCTTTAAGTCTTCCAATGCAAATACCCATCCATATGACAGATGGGATAATTGCTGGCTAATATCAAAACAAAGAGGCTGAAATCAACACCTCTCTTCAGCATAATGACATAGTCAAAATGAAAATAGCGAACGCAAAGACCACATCAAGGAAAGACTGGAGAGGAAACAACTTCTCTTCCAATTTACAACATGAATCATTCTAAAACTATGCCACATTGAAAACTGGGGCAGTGGGGGAGTGGGGAAGAACCTTGAATTATATACTGTACTTGATTGGAGCAACAGAGAGGACAACCCTCTATGTTTTATCTGTCATGTTCCAAAGAGTCCAGGGTTGGATAATACCACTTGGTAAGGTCTTTAGTACAGAGGTAAATCACCTGCTGATTCCATGATCTAGATTCCAAGGGTGTAATGTACAAAGTTATTCCATCATAGCCTCCATGGAATGGCATTGCATTTCTGTTGAAGAACACTCTGTATTTTACAGGGTGTTCTTGGATCACATCTGCTTTTGCCTCAAATATAAACCTTGGTTAATAATGTTCTATATTTTTATTCGTTTTGAAGCAAAGCTACATTGTAAGAAAAATATTTAGTTCTAGGACAAGAAACAGGGTCTCCATGTTACCTCCACTGGTGAAAGCCAAGAACATGGCACAAAGCAATTGCCGAAAGTTCACCAGCACTTCCTTCCATGACAACACAGCCAACAAATGTCAAAGTTTGGAAATCATAATAATAATAGCACTAATCATCATCATAATATAATAGATGCATGTGTTTCTAGGCCAGATGGACCTATGAACTTAACTGGTGAAACATATAAAGGTCCCTGAAAGGAATATTCAGGAACCTGATACAGAACACATGTCTCTTTTTAACCTTTATAGTTCTTTTCTGTTTAAATTGGATAGTGGGAGTCATAAGAAAATACTTACGATGATTAATAATTGGGCTGCTGGGCTTTTCAACAGGTCAGGGAGTGTCCAATTTATTGTGTGTCCAAAGTGGATGGCATACGGAGGCTTTTAAAAGCATGCCCTGGCAGTTGGGCGGAGTTTTATCGAAGCATCTGATTATTACATTTGGACTCTGAGACTGACTACGTACTGTGCAGGACTAGCTAAACACCCTTGTAACGAATGACCAATTATATTTCACAGCTGGGATTTCCTTAGAAATCTTTAGGAGAAGATCCAGTGTCTGCTGCACTTGGAAGAGCAGCAGTCCAAAACAGTGGCTCTTAAGGAAGCCAATGGATGACTTGCTCCATGGCTTTTACACCTTCCTTGCCCTCCCCCAACTCCTCCCATTCAACAAGCTTTAAATCAAGCAGCGCATTCAAACGCTCAAGCGAAATTTGGATGAACGCCGCTTCGTGATCCTCTAAAACGGATGATGCTTGTAGTTTTGCCTGTAGTTTATTGGAAAGGGATCATGGAGACAGTATCAGTGGCCACTGGAATGCCATGGAGTCAAAACATCAGGCTCCTGTTTGTATCTCCTAAATTGCTAGTTGCCTATGGAAGTATTTAGAGCCAACAATCAACTCATGCTAAGGAAATGCACACATGCAAATTTCATGCCGTTGAAGATAACACCATGGCTAATGATCAGGTAAATATATATAGTTATTAAATCTAAGTGTTAAAAGATCTGAGCAAGAAGTTTTCAGGTACTTTGGACACCCTAACATACCCCAATATTCATACACTACACCAATTTGTTGATTACTTCTAGTCCTTACGAAAAATAACTAACAAAATCAGTGCAGATGGCATGATAAAAAATATAATGCTGTAGAAAGTCCCCATGCCACATCTCTTCCATAAGATGTCTTTCCCTTCACCTTAGCCTTTCAGGGCTATAGATATCATTATACTTAAGCACACACACTTGTTAGCTAAGACTGCTTTCCCCTGGGAGTAAGTCCCAATGAACAATATGGGATTTCTGAACAGTCAACTATGGACAAAACTACCCTGAATTTAGTAGGACAATTCACAGTTAACAGACTCAGTCATGCCATACCATTCATGCGGAACCTCCTTTCTACTGTAAACTGAGGTTCCTCAGTTTAATTCGGTAGACCACAATAATCGACAGCAGTTCAGAATCTATAACACACTGAAAAGTTCATTAGCCTTGGCTATGCTAACTTACGATACTTTCCTTTTTTAAACTGGACGCTGTCCATAGTTTTGGCATTATAATCCTGAATCTTCAATGGCAACCAGCTTTAATAAGATTTGCATGGCACTCTGTTTTGTAAGTTATAGTGCAAAAAACCTCACCCACCCTCCCCAGTCTTAAAATAAAATGGATAAATCCTACTTAGCAATTAAAACACACATACACACACAACTAAATTGGCATCTACTGCAGTGCAGACTGTGTCAGCTGCACACATCTCTGCCTACAAATGGAAAAACAAAACAAAACTTCATTCTTGAAGGATATAATTTTGCTGAGAATGGAAACTTGAGCGAAGGCCAGCTGACAGAAACAGAGGTCAGTGCATCGACTGAAGCCAAATCTACCTAAAAAGAGAGTTCTATGTTCCTAAGAAGCAAGCAACAGAAATGTTCAAATACCAGTTGCTATCAAACTTTGCTTAACAAAAAGCCCCTTTCTGAAGGGCAAAAGAAAGCTAAATAAGTTAATTCCATTTTTCTGAATACATCATTGCCTGACGTTAAACTTCAAAATCTGCATGGGCAGCAGGCACCCGGCTTAGTTTCTGTTTCACAGGAGGAAAAGCAAACTTCGTTTTGACTTCAACAGGAAAGCATTACCCCCCCCCAAAAAAAGAATAAATGTACAAGAGTGCCAACAAACAGCTGCCACAAGAACCGCGTGAGGTAGTCCTCAACATTCTTTCTGCGGATATAGCAATCTCAGAGAATTCAACCAGCTACCTGCTGTCTAATGGCTATCACAATGTCAACATTTGCACCTGCAAAGAAATTCAAACTTCTTTTCCATGCTCAACCGGGTCAGCTACAGACAATGATGTCAGTGGAAATTTCAGATATGACAAGAGCCAGAATTTTGGAAACAGCTTCCCCAACCCAAGCTGATTTGTTAAGTACCTGCAGCAGATTTACCTTTACAGATAGCAAGCTGTGCTTAGACTCACCATCCAAACTAGTCAGTTTTCAGCTCTGCTAAAACTGTCTGTTCAGCACTTGAGGAATAAATTCCCAATACACAAATAATGTCCAAAAAAAAGGACTAACAGCCTTCTAGCCAGAATCAGATCACACACAGCAAAATTCTTATTTTCTTTTCTTTTTTTTAAAAGAAAGAAAGAAATTAAATAGGAAGAAAGATTTACCTTCAAGAAATCACAAAAGCAGCACTTAAATAATTGTGTTGAAAGACTGTTGATTTTCCCCATTGCTTCTTAAGTGCAAACTCTGGAAATGAATTGGTTAGCAGAAATAATGAAGGGGTGAGAGAAAAAAAAAGAAAAAGAAATCCAGAGAGAGGTGAGATGTTGAGAGCAATTTACATTTCGGTATTGAGGACTTTTATTCCATTGCGCAGGCTCGATCTGCTCTGATTTTAGCAGTGACAGTGAGATTTAGCAAACAGAAGAGGGATTTAGAGAAAATCCTCACATTTATCTACATTACAGACACTGTAGACAGGAAACAGCTGGAGGAACATTTGCCTTCTCTCCCTCTCTTTCTCTCTCTCTCTTTCTCTCTCTCTCCCTCTTCTGGCAAAGTTACTGAGTAAGGACTTTTTTGGGCACGGTGACAAATAACATCATACCTTTGCATTTTGAAACTGGAGTTGCTGAAGCATTTTTTTTTTAAAAAAATCCCCTCCCTCCTTAAAAGAACGTACAGGAATGAAGGGGGAAAGGAGGTGGTAGTGGGGGGAAACAGTGTAAGAAATCAAAGGAGTTGGAGCGGCAATGGGAAATGAAACATATGAATGGTCACGTTACAGCTGGCTGCAATGCACAGACATCGTCATGAGATCTAAGAAGTGGCTGAGCATGTTGAGCCATCGTCAAAACCAACTCCTGCTAATGCTGGAATCACAGGCTGCAATCTGATTGAAAGCTTGGGAAAGTTACCTTTTGGATTTCAACTCCCACAATCCCCTAGCTAGGAAGAAGGGTCCCTGGCCATGCTGGATGGGGGTTTCAGGGAGTTAATTCAATTTTCTGACCTCTAGTCTGGGGGGGGGGAGGGGAATGGTTTAAAAAACAGCTTGTGATTAAGAAAAGAAAAAGCATCAACTAAGGAAAGTCTCAGAGTGTCTCAGCAGTAGCTTCTCCAGGAGTATGCAAATTAGCTGGCTTTTGTATGCCGATTGGTCTTCAGGGATTACACAGGGGATTTCTTTCAAATCTGTTTATGTCAACCCCAAAGGCTGCCTTAGTCACCTATCTCCAACATTAAGTTGCTTTCAGCTCGCATTGCAGGCTGCCTATAGAATGTATATTTGATTCATGCAGAATGCTTGAGGGGACACCTTGTCACTTTTGCGAAACGGTATGAAATCAATTTCCCATCCCTTTCCGCAAGATGATATAATTTCATGTTTACCTCCGGTTATTTTTGATTCTCTTTACATTGGTGCCTCACTGTGCTTTTTAATTAATTTCTTATGTTCATAGCTTGTACTTCTTCCCATGAGCTCAGGGCAGGATAGATGGCTCTTTGTGTTCACACCAACCCTGTTAGGCTGCAAGGATGTGACTGAACCCAGGCCTTCCCAGTGAGTTTCATGGGTCTTAGTCCAGCAGTCTAAACCCTACTTGCTTCTTGCCATTGTGTTTATTAATTCTGTAAAACGTAAAGAAGAGGAGTTAAGAGTCAGAAAAGGGAAGGACCATTACTCAGTGGCAGAAAGCATGCTTTACATGTGGATGGTTTCAAGTTCAGTTGGCAGCTTCTCCATTTAAAAGATCAGGTTGGAAATGGTGGGAAACTTCCCTGTCTCAGGCCCTGACCAGCCAAAGTATACAACAATGGAGAGATAGCTTTATTCATCACCAAACAGTACTCTGCATTTCCTAAAAATGGGACCTGCCTCAACAACAGGAATAGGTAAAAGAAGCTATTCTTGGCATGGAAATAAACAGTACCCTCACCCAAAATCTCTATATCACGTTATGGTTAATGTTGGAAGTGACAGGGTACAACTCAGCTTACTCCCAAGAAGATGCATATCTTTTTATGGGGAAAAGACGAACCTTCTCACATTTCCTAGAGTCATTTTTTTTACCTGCTTTGACCTGTGCTGACTTTCCTCCCACATTAGATGGCTGTTCTTAGGGTTGCTGATGTCACCTCCTTTCATCTCAAACCATTCTTCTCTCCCTCCAAGGAAGAGACCATTGGCTTTCTAACAGGGAGAGCTGTTCAGGACTGGAAAAGGTTCCCTTGAGATTAATGGGCTAGTCTTCTGTGGTCATATTTAAGTTCATACTGGATGAACATCTGCCTAGGATATACCAGTTGTATCTCATGCTGCAGAACCTGCATTGAATCTATGGTTACACATATCTGCATCAGCATTTCATAGACCAGAATGGAGAGGTGCCCCTTGGTCCCAGTCATGAAATGTCATTACACACATACACTCCTTATATTCTGCAGATCCTGTTTGTTAAAAAGGTCCTCAGCATCATTGGTTGGTTGGCGCATGCTTTCAAGTTGGAACTGACTTACAGTGACTCTTATAAGACTTTCAAGGTAAATGAGATGTTTATGCAGTGGCTTTACCAGTTCCACTCCCAGAGTGAATTTCGGAGTCTGAGCATGAGATACAACTGTCATTTGAACCCTGGTCTCCAGAGCCTAGCCCATCACTTCATCCACTATACCACACTGGGAATTGTCAACACATGTATACCTTATTTTAATCTTGCCAATCAAAATGATATAAGACTCTCTCAGGTCAGACCTTTGGTTGATCTAGTTCCCCATCCTCAAAGTCGACTGATTGGCAGTGACTCCAGAATTTCAAGGAGAATCCTTTCATAGCTTTCATCGAAATTGCTTGTATTCTTAATAGACTCCCACCCAAATCCTAACCTGGCTTTTATAGCTTTTCAGATGAGACAAGACTTAGGGGTGACTACATGGGCATTTATCCAGGTGTTTGGTCTGCTGCAGGGATGAACAAGTTTGGTCCTTAAAAAGGTGATTAGATGACATAATCACTGGATTGAATGAGCCCACCTCAAAGCAGTCCTATTTGTACCTTTCTGCCCCTGTTTGGGGCTTCTACTTTGTATGTGTGTGTGTGTGGGGGGTTAGGATCACTCTAGTTTTGCTCATCTCCAGTGCATATGCACTGTCCTAACACAGGGACGTGGTGGCACTGTGGGTTAAACCGCAGAAGCCTCTGTGCTGCAAGGTCAGAAGACCAGCAGTCGTAAGATCGAATCCACACAATGAAGTGAGCTCCCGTCGCTTGTCTCAGCTCCTGCCAACCTAGAAGTTCGAAAGCATATAAATGCAAGTAGATAAATAGGTACCACCACGGTGGGAAGGAAATGGCGTTCCATGTCTAGTCATGCTGGCCACGTGACCATGGAAACTGTCTACGGACAAA